ACACAGGATGCACAACAGCTTAAGTTGTTACAAATCAGCTGAAATTAAGCTTGAAAAACATTTTGTACAAAATGTGATTTGATATATTAATGAAGCTTATTTCACTGCCTTGCATGACTTTAGAAATGCAGTTAGGTCTGGAAATATTTGCACAGCGATGGTTTTAACAAGTTTGTTCACTTCAGGCCTGAACGATGGGAGCAGGTGAAGAAGGCGGTGGACTGGGTTCGCTGGGCTGACCGACAGTACCCCTGTGTCTATTGTCGGCTAGAGTTTGGTTTGAGCTGGGAGTCCGCCACCCGTCAGCTGCTGGGTTATGAAAGCCTGCCTCCCTTCTCGCCTCTCTGTGGTCTTGACCTACAGAGGACAGCGGCCCCAGTACTGGTCCTGTGAGAAGATGCTGTGGACACCGTGTAGCCTTTCAGAGGGGATTACAGTAGCTTTAGATATGCTTGTAGATGAATATGCATGTATTCCTTTGCCTTTTAAGAAGAATTGTGTACTCTGTGTGTTTAAACATGTATGGATAATCTTAAATGTTACAAATACAGGCCATTTACACGGAGCATTTACTGCACATGGAGCAGTTGTTTTGTCATCTGTGAAGTTTGCCCGAAAAGCAAACTGGTGTTTAATCCAGGTCAGGTGGTAAAATGTACTTAATTTGAGACACAAGTTATTTTTTAATTGCATAACACAGTATCCGTTTTTTAAAACACGTCATTGGTGTTGGTGGCAACAGTTGTTGTTTTGTGTAGTGGGATAATGGTGCAGGGTAAATACCTCTGATGCTGGAGGACCAATGTGATTGGGTAGCAGGATGTAGGAGTCTCCCCTGGTTACGGGCATCAGCCAGGTTTGTGTCCTCATTGTAACGTGATTTTATAGTCAGTGACTTGATACTTATTTACATGTAACAAGGCTTGTTGTTAATAAATTGCTACTCTATGACCTGTTCGTGCCAGTGCTTTACCTCGCTGCCTTTTACAGCTTCTTCCGTGTTAAGTTGTACGGTGAGGGAGGCTGAAGAAATTGAATACATGCAAAGGGTGCCAGGTTTGAGGGTCTCGGGATCTTATCACTGCTTTTTGAAGATGAAGTGGTTTTCTTTCACCAAGCAATCACATCTGGCTGACACCAAGATGGTTATAGTGAGGAGCTCAGTCATTTAGGACGGGGTGAGAGAGGTGTTGACTGGCATGAAAACCATCACTGTGTTCAGGCCGTCCCATCTGTGTGTTTTTCAACAGATTGAAATGCTCACCTCCCTACTGATTTACCTGTGGTCAGCCTTCAGCTACTCTCTCTCCAGTTTGCACCTCAGGCTACGTCTACACTAATCCGGGTAAATTTGAAAACGGCGTTTTCGTCTAAAACACTCCACGTCCACACTATCATTTCCAAAGAGTTGTGCATCCACACTGAAACGACCTAAAATGCTTACAGTCCAGTCCTGCGCCTGCATGTAAAGTAAGAAGATTCGACCCGCCTCATTTCTGTCTGCCGTTTATTTACTTTCCGGCTCTTTGAAAATTGTGGCTGAATGTCGAGGAAAAGCAGCGAGTTTTTTAAATGGACTAACAATGAGGTGGAGTTGTTGCTGCGAG